GCCCTTTTCCTGTTGTTTGCCCACGCCCTTTTCCTGTTGTTTGCCCACGCCCATTTCCTGTTGTTTGCCCACGCCCATTTCCTGTTGTTTGCCCACGCCCTTTTCCTGTTGTTTGCCCACCCCCATTTCCTGTTGTTTGCCCACGCCCTTTTCCTGTTGTTTGCCCACGCCCTTTTCCTGTTGTTTGCCCACGCCCGTGTTGGTCTGCAGTATCTCTTTGTGGACACGGTACACTCGGTGGTCTTTCGGACCGTGGACGCCGGCCGGACTTGGCAGCACTTCCACACGCCGGTCAAGATGACCACCATCTCCATGCACCAGACCGACCCAGACTTTGTCCTGGGAATGGACGACGACGACCACGACAAGAGAGTGAGTATCTACCAGTAGATGCCTATCAAACAAAACCCAAACTTCGTACATGTATGTCACGAAAACGGCAATTCCTGTGGCGAATGCAGGTATACTGGCCGGCTAAACCATTGCTTGCTTTGATCCAGTTGCCGCGGTGTAAGGATAGACCTGCGAGCAACTCGTGAATGACCTGCATTTGACTTGTGATTGACTGATGGGGACTTGTGTTCGTTAACACCACTCTGTGGAGTTGTTGAGAACTTGTGATAGACTTACGATGACTGAATAGGGACTTGCGAATACCATAAAGTTGGGTTATGATTGACTCATGACAGACTTGCGATAGACCTGTGATGACTTCTGAAGGACTTGTGAACACCTTAAGGTGGACATACGATTGACTGAAAACGGCCTTGTGATGGAATTGCGAAGTGCCATCTTATGGACTCAAGAAAGACATGTGATAGACTTATGATAACTTATGATGGACTTATGAACACCTTAACCCTAACCCCCTAGGCCTTTTTACAAGGAACCATCCTGAATCCTCCGAAATCCTTCAGTTTTCAACATGAAAAAATTGCATTCAGCCCAAATCCTCCAATATCCTCCAAAAGTTCTTGAAAATGTCAGTTGGAGATGTGCCTAACTGCCCAAATCCTTCAAAATCCTCCGGCAATTCCTGTCATTATGTTGAGGCAGTGCGAATGGCATTCTTGAGCTGTGCAGTTGATTCAAAAGAAATATCGGGCTGAACTTGTGCTTGACTAAGCATAAACAACATAATCCACGACCTTCACGTAGGGCATCCTTCGAAATCAGCCATGTACTTTTGCCATACACCCTGAATCCTCCAATTCCTCCACTTTGCAGAAAAGGATTTGGGAGGGTTAGGGTTAAGGAGGGCCTATGATTGACTGACGACAGGCTTGGGATTGACAGCTGGATGAGTTTTTTGATGGGCCCACTTGTATTTGTGTGTTGGAGCAAATGACAGTATCTTATTTGCGCTTTGCATTGTGCAGTTGTGGAAATCGGAGAACTTTGGTGCCACCTGGCTGCTGGTGCAAAGCGACGTCAAGTCATTCTGGTGGTAAGTAGCAAGGTTTACATGTACATCTAGGACTGCACCATCTGCCCCTCTCTCTTCCCAGGCAAGGTTAGAAGCTTCCCTCTCCTCTCCCAGGACAAACAATGAAACCGACGTGCATTTGGTGACATCTCAGGCCACACCCGCCTTGAGCAGGAGCACACCCTCATTGGTTGGAAAGAGCGGGGTTGGTCAGGAGTGTTCATTCTGTAGGTGGCGACGTGACTGCAACGTTTGCCTTTCCTAGTTGTTTGTGAACCTGAAATGGGCTGGTGGTACCAAAGGAGCCTCTGTTGCTAAGGAAATAGCACCCTCTGTTGGCCCAGCCACTGCACCTTGATGTCTTGGAAGTAAATTTGAAGACTCGTTCACCAGTGCAAACGATTTTAGAAATGAGGGATGGTAAATTTTCAACAAAGAAAAAAACTGCCTGGTCCAAATTTTACGACAGGCGGACTAGAGGAGACACTCTGGTCAGTGGAGAACTTGTTGGGGCCAAAAATCTGAATGTATCGCCATGTAGAGAGAGTGTTTACACCCTCCCCCTTCCTTTGAAGCTTTGTGGAAGTTGTCTTCTCCCCTTTTAATGTGCCTGTCTCTCATGTCACACCCCGGTGCTACTCGGTTGCGTGTAAAATGAGTTTGTTTACACACGGCTTGTGTAGAACTGAAAACAAAAGAAGTCTTCATAGCGCAGGGTGCAAAGATGTTATGTGGACTAGTATCCATGTACATCCACACAATCTACGTGTATCCATCATTCTGAATGAGTAAATGGGTACCTGTGAGGGCAGATGTGGTCATGTTCAGCCGTTTTCGCCTGATAAGGCAGCATTCAGGCTAGCGTACTCCCCATGGAGCTGAGATGGTTTCAGGAATGTCCAGATGGTGTGAACCCAATGTGCTGGGGTAATCCGCCCCAAGTTGAAGTGTACCCCCAGCGTCAAAAGAAAGACAGATGGTTCTAAGTTTTCCCGAGCGGGTTCTTGCACTTGTGCTGTGTATACGCAAAGACCATACATTAAGGAATAATTTCCTTCCGTGTTCTCAGTGCGCTCTGCGTCAAATGTGCCTTTTGTCTCCTTTATAAACCTCACGCTTAAGCGGCGAGTACCAAAAAAACCGCCCTCTTTTGTTGCGCTCGGAGCAGATGACTTTTAGCACCGAGAGACTTTTGCTTCTATAAGAACTTTTCTTTTTCATTATTATTATAGATCTGAAAGACTGTTTTAGCAGCAGTTGGGGGGGAGGTCAGGGCTAGGGCTCCCTTGTTGCAATGGCTAGAGGAACGGTCAAGGAAATCATCCATAAGAATTCAGCTTGAAAAAAGGTTCTCACAGAGGGGGGGAAAATGAGTGTACGGTACCTCCCCAAAGTTTCTTAATGTAGGGACCTCATGAATATGGATGAGTAGTCTCTGGGCACTCTGCCAATTTACTGTCGTCTTGACCCGACCATGTCGACGGGCAAGGGAGGCAAGTTCGTGGCATGAGTACACGCTTTTTCAGCTCTCTAGTAGACATTTTCGCCAATTGAACAGTCTTGAGTGCATGCAGCATATCAAGTAATTATTTGAGAGATTGTTGACTAGGTGCTGGGATTTTGTTACACCTTGGATTTTGTTTGACCTTGGAAATTTGGGTTAGCTGGAAATCAGTAACGATTGAGTATCATCAAGTGTGTGATTGACTAGACTTCCGTACCAGAGGATAGAACCTCAACCAATGTGGGCGCAGGACCCACGACCCCCCGAACCGATGCACACGCGTTGCCTCACTTCATTAATTAACAACTGAAAAACAACGGAATGCACGCATGAAACATGGCTATCTCTCTCTCTGTCTCTCCACATGTTCGTTGCGCACCATAGGGGTGTGCCAGGGGTGGACAGGCCGGACACGCTGTTCGTGGAGAGGCTGGAGCCCACCGGCACCTCCACAGTGCTCAAGTCAGAGCACTACTTTGACTGGGACTGGGAGGACCAGACCGTCATCACCAACGTGGTGGACTTCGAGGTGCGGGATGAGTACATGTTTGCCACCACAAATGCATTCATACCGGTGAGTTACATTTCTTTTAACGGAGTTTTTTTATGGTAAAGCGATTTTTTGATCATGTTCCCTGAATCCACCGTGTCTCATGCAGTGGATTTGTTGAGTGAGATGGTGCCAGATGAGTTTCAAGCCTCACTGTTGTTACGTTTTGTTACATTTTGATAACATTATTTGCAAATTTAAACAGGTTTGAGGATTCAGTTTTTAGCGAATTTCAGCATTTTTTGGTCGGATGTTGACCCTCAATTTAAGCTTTTTTTTGTACACCTGCTCTGTAAAAAAGTGTGCTGACTTCTTACACTTCAGCTTTTTGCTAGCTGTTTCCAGCTTTAATTTTAAGTGATCACTCACACCCCTGTTTAAGTGATTCATCAGTGTACATAGCTGGAATTGGTTTTGATGAGCCTTTGGGGTTTTTACTCTGGTGTTGCCCAAGTGCAGGTTGAAGTGAGCAATTAATGTTCGTTTCATTTCTGTATGGGCAACTCAAATGAGGTTTAATACTGCATGAAATTTGTTGAGTCGCTGTTAAGCAAAGACGATCTTTGTTAGCGGCCTTTGTTGGTCATGCTGCAAATTCAGGGACCAGGCTTTTGTGCCCCTTTCATGCCTGCCATTTGATTTTGTAAGTGTAGCTCAGGTTCTATGATTTCCAGTGAGTGATTATTAGTCATGCAAATTACCTGCCAGACAAAAAGCTGTAAGTCAGTTTTGGTGATTTTTTTTTCTCAGTCGAATTATTAAGCGCTGTTAGTCTTACTCGCAGGTTCCCCAAATGAAAAGCATTTTCCTCAGTTTCACATCAATTCAATGTCTGATTACGGCCTGTTAACCCCTCCGCACCGGGAAGCGGTAAGAGCCGCAGTAAAAATTGAGATCCTCAGCCCGCTTTTCAGCTATTATTCTTGGCCCACGCTTGAGTGAACACGGTGAAAGAAGGCAGACCCTGGCTCTTTGTATTATATATGGTGATTGGCCTTTGTGTGTTGCCAAGAAATGGAAAGGCCGAATTTGCATCATAATCACTAGCTTCACAATAGTCCCCACTTTGAAAAGAGGTAACGGGAATGTGGAAGCGTGAATAGAGCAGCATGCCACCAAACAATCAGCCTTTTCACTGTGTAAATCGAAGCGTGCGAAGCACGCAGGGCCACAAACCGAGTATTTGCAGTTTGGCAGGTGGCCTTCGTGGCCAAGCAGGGCTGGAATTCTCAGAGTCGGCTTTCAGAAAAAAGTCCTGCCGTCAAGGGGTTAATTAAAACGGACTTTGTTTTGTGGTGACAGTTTGGAGGCGAACGAAGTACGGACAGCGACACCAGGCCTTACCTGGATCTGATGGTGTCCCACAACAGGGGACCTTTCATGTACGCAGACTTCCCCTCCTGGCTCCCGAGAAGGGTAAGTTTGGTTTTGTAGTCATCAAGATTCCCTTTTAGGCTTTGGTTTCTCATAGTTTGGGGGGTTGGTCAACACAAGACCTGTGCGTTCCAAGTTAACGAGACCTCAAAATTGACGAGTGGTGTAATTTGGTAAATGACCCTGACCTCATGTGGATGCACAAAATACAGCTTGTAAGGTGCTGGCAGTACTTTATGTACCCGTTACTTCAGCCAAAAAATGCAGCGTTTTGTAGCAAGTGGTCCTTTCATCCATGAAATTGTACCCAATATAGGGACGCAGAAATTCTGCGCAAAGGAGTCACATGTGATTTGATTGAAATCAGCAACTCAAGGTGAAAATCCTCCCGTCACTCAAGCCTTTCCTCTAACCTTCTGTATCAGATGATGTGATGAGGGTTATTAATACCCATCCTCGCACCTCCACGAAACAGGACCGGTTTTTTATACCTCTCCCGTACTTGGTCTGTTTTGCTGTTGGTAATCCCCGCGGCCCGGCGTGAAAACAATTAGCATTGAACCCCCCCTCCCATGTGAGTACAGAGGCCTCCTGCTGACTTTGACTACGTGGCTTTTTCATCCCCCTTCGGATTAGGATTTCTACATCGCCGACGCCGACGAGGACCAGGTCTTTGTCTGCGTCAACCACGACCTGAACAAGACCAACCTGTACATCAGCGAGGTGCAGGGCACCTCCTACTCCTTGTCGCTGGAGGACATTGTCTACTTCAGCCCGGAGGGCCCCGGCAAAGACACCTGGCTGAGGTACGGCTGGGGGGAGGAGGGGAGGGGGGGTGTCTGTTTTACACAGATCTGGATCGGGATTGCTGATCCTCGCGCTGGTTCACTGACACTGGAGCCTGCCCGATTGATGTCGCGGAACCGGCTTTTGGATCACTAATCAAGACCAGGAGTCGTTTGAAACAAACAGGCCCTTGGAGCATTCAGTACGGTACAAGGGGTACAACAAGAGCAGGGGCTGATGCTTTGTGAGGGTTGCAAACTTGTTCGGAGGGGCCCACAGAATTTGGACATTTGTCTGTGTAATGTGTCATGGCTTCTCGCAGGGGTGAGGCTACATGTACATTTCTGAGGCTTTCTAGATGCCTTTCAGTGACAGGAAATGAACAAGACAAAAAAGATTTTCCTTTCATTATTACAAATAAAAGGGCTCGTGGGGGGGCATCACCCCTCGTTGGCACCCCCTGGAACCCCTCTTGTGTAGGCATTAAGTGTATTATACTCCAGTAAGCAAAGGGAAATTTTAAACTATAGAGGCTTTGCATGGTAGCCATCTTGCAGGGCAGTTCTTTTGTACTATATGGAAACCTCCTTTGAGCGCATCTTGTGAAACAAGAGAATTTTATGTTTTCCCACCCCCAACTCCAGCCGCTACGCCGACGATCCGTTCGTGGAGCTGCACCGGGTGGACGGGCTGCGCGGCATCTACATCGCCAACAAGTTCAACACCACCAACGGCCAGTTCACTGAGGAGAACATGGTCAGCCTCATCACCTACGACAAGGGCGGGGAGTGGAACCCCCTCCTGCCCCCGGAGTTCGAGGGCAACTGCGTACCGGTGAGTGGAGTCGGCGTCTGAATCAAGGATGTGCTGAGAATCATCAAATATGACTACTGAATATTGTCTAGATCAAGCACAGGTCATCGGGCCAGTGCTGAAAGGTCATTGTAGGAAAAGTGAAAGCTCAAAAAATTTTCCTACGGCCTTACTCTGAGAATGGAGGAACTGTTGTATAGAAACGGACAATATTTATTTTACTTTTATTTATTAAATAAGTTTTCTGGGGCCAAGAAATTTCAGCAAATTTTGTTGCCCAATGTGATGATTAAAATACTACATTTTTCAGTGAGGATCTGCCAATGCAGTTTTTCTGTAAGGACCTCTCAGCAGCAACAGGATGAGGTAGTCTGTGAATATGTGACCGGCTCCACAAAAATGGGTATTGTGGGACATTTTTTTTGCAAAATGAGTCACATACGCTTTTGAATTGGTTACATCATAAGCTTTAATTTGGTGTAGGTTCAAACCCTGTGGCATTTTATATATGTACATGTACATGTATATTGATTTTTGCATATCATACACGTTAACAGAATTACTATCAGAGATAAAGTCCTTTGAAAACGGGTAGTGGAAAAAGAAATCAGCCAAGAAGAAAGTCTCTTGATACTCATAGCAACAGTTAGGTTTCTTGTATGAATTGTGCAAATATTGATATAATAGACGTCAATAAACCTGAACTCAGACAATGGAAACAGGGCCCTGTAACAAAGACCGTACTCCGAACAAAAGACCAGGCTGCTGGGCATTACCGACATTTTTCACTCTCAAAAGCGGTGATAATCCAGCCTTGTTTTGAAACAGTTTACCAGGGTTTGGGGCATTGAGAGCGAGCAGATTACCACCGGGGACAAAAGCGCTCCACCACCGCAGCGATGAGCCACACAGCACCGCTAATCTGGCCCCTATTGAAAAGAGGTCAGCAGTGCACTGAACCA